AATAAGTAACCATAACCGCACTTCAAAATTATCATTTTAGCTACCAAAACTGGTATCAAAAGTGGAATCAATCCTGACTGATTTCCCGCACTCTGTTACGTTTATGGTTTTGGACCTCTTGGTGTCATGGATGACACCTGAGTTATTTTTTTCCATGGATCCTTTCTCAGACTAAGAAAGTTCAAACCATCATACGACTTTACCAGCTTTACACATTAGTTTTTTCTTGGTAAGTTTGAAGCCTAATAAGTCTGATTTAAATATTTTCACGGTACATAATTTTGGTGCCATGAGGAAAATCAGAATTCTATTGTGCTTGTCCTTCTGTCAATCTTGTAATACATACTACCATGAATCATAAAAATTTGGTACTTTGGTCTGGAAATAGTTATTGAACCCAGGAAATGCAAGCCACAGTGGACGGGGACAGATCCTGCAAATTCTCAATACTGCAGAAATTTGATGGCCATCAACAATCCTAAGGTAGCATGTAAAATTTTGCTGCAGCGTCTATCTAGTCTCAGCCTACCAGAAATTGAACTACATATTCCATAGCTGAATGTACATTTGTTGATACAAAGTGAAACAAGCATCCAGCCATGCATCTGCAAATTTAATGTTACCAATATATACATACTATTTCCAGCTCGCTCTCGTTCTTACGGTAAAACAATGTAACAGTTCCTTTTCTACCACAAAACCAGTAGTGGCAAATGTGCATCTATTCAATGGTTGATTGAGGTGTCCATCCTCTAAACTATCCTGCTTACAGCATTACAGGACATCACCAACGTATCGTGCAACAGGATGCTGTAGGCATTCAACTCCTACAGAAACAACTCTTACAGTAAAGGTATATACAATAAGGCTTGCACATCGTGATGCAGAAAGCAATTTAATAACGGGGTGCAATCCCTCGAATCAATCTAGCACCTAAACAAACTCTTTTACCAGTCCTATTGTGAAAAATAATGTTCTTGTATATATATCATAAAGAATTCATGTGCATATATATATACAATGCTAGACAAGCTAAGTAAGGCAAGAGATCCTAAGCTAATGGTACGGAATTGAATAAGGAAACAACTAGGAAATAAATGTGCTCAACGGCTAGTGATTGATTTTGTGCTGTGATTGAGGTTCTATACTTGTGAATATATCTAACACCTATAAATCAATTACTTTCACTTCAAACCACAATATTTAAAGCATGATGAAAAGTTGAACTTGCAATTGAAGGCAGTACATTGATTTAATGTAGGTTGTGTAGCCAGCTTTATCTTCTCATTTATGGGGGCGCCATCCACCAGCAGAAGTTTCTTGGTATTCTCCATTTGTTTGACGTGGTTCATGATGTTCTTGGTTTTATTTATGCGTGGGAACCTGCAAATCATCAAAGACAAGAAGCTGTAAGAAAAAATATTCCCTATTTAAGTTTTATAAATCACTCGGAACATAAATGACATCATTCCTTCACATGAATGTAGAAAAAGCAAAATGATGAAAAAAAAATTGTTTAAAACAAAAATTGGAATGCAAGAGCATGCGCTGGAACATATGAAGTGCAAGGCTTGAAGGCCTGACAAACAAGTCATCTGTGTTGGCTTAGTCCAGCCTGTAGATGAGATGAGCAGCTCCTTATATATGTGTCTCTTATGTCTATTTGATAGACTTACCTTCCTTTCTGCTGCACAAGCAGACAGCGCAATCTTCTGTCCTAGACAATTAACCTTCTTATTCACCTTAATAGCATGAATTCTTGCCTTAGGACCAAGCATGGTAGCACCACCCCTAAATTGTTACCAATCCATTAAACCAACAGAAAGTATCTCAATATGACAGAATGTCTGAAACTAAACCAACCAGGTAATCATTAAGCAGAATAAAGCATCACCTGAGGGCCGCACTATGTTCCATGCCTTGGGTTGACCAGTATGCTTCTGTGGCCAGGGCTTTCTTCCAGTTCCACTGACCTCACCAATTGTTTTTGTTGAATGTGTCCCCTGTTAACAATCAATCGACATTGACCTTGCTGACATTCACCTTTTATGTGTAAAATCACCACAACAACCTAATCTTTGTAGTTCAAATGCAGAAAAGATATGAACCATGCAAGTTATGCGCAACAAGAAACTCCATATAAAATGCAAAAGAGCAGATTAATCATAAGTCAGATTCTCTTAAAGAAACAAATTGCTTTTTACAATCTCAACTAGAGCACCCTCACTGCATCTGTTGTCTGAAAGTTAGGGTGTGGTGCATTGAAAGTTAGAGGCAGGTGATTGTAGAGAGTTGTTGTCCTTTACTGGTTTGCCATGTTGACAAGACTTGTTGAGTACAAAAGGCTTTCCCTGCCTCTAACTACTATGCAATTTTCCTGCTCCGTTACTAAACGTTTCATTTAGCTGATCAAACACACAGAAAAGTAGCCTTTTGCTTTGTTACTAAAAAATTGGGCAAAACTAGCAGGTACCTTGCATGTTTCAAATATCTCAATATAATGATTAAGCACCATCTGTTGCATTTTTTGGCACATCATAAATGTCACCAGCCAAAACAATGAAGCCTCTATCTTTGTTATGAAATTTGTTACTGGAATTACCCAATCTTGATAAAGTCCCGCACCATGATACACATAACCAAAATGATACTGCCCAAAAAGTTAACTAATGATGCAACATTAAGTTTATTGACTGAGATTTATAACTTTCCCATTAGATAGTTATCAAAGAAATGTATAATGGAACAAAATCACAACCCAGAATGAGGATGAAGTAAACAAATAAAGATAAAAATCCACTGGCAAAGGGCACACATGAAGATCCTAACTATACTAAGGCTAGTTAAATATTTGAGGCAAAAACATATAAGGCACCAGGAGCAAATGCAGTTTTCTCAATTCTTGGAATACTACTAATAATCTAAAACAATGGTTTGAGGAACACATGGAGCAAAATGGAAGATAATCGCAACTAATTTGGTGTACCAGCTTCATATGTGTGCATATGTTAAAAACACATGACCTCTAGCAAGCACTTAAATGTTCATGCCATAGAAGTAATTATACATTGCCCAAGAAATAGGAATGTAGGAGTACAACTATTTGTTTTAGCCTTAATATATCTTTTAGAAATTAAAGGAAAAATCTTCATATCTCCCTACAAAGGAATGATAACATATCATAAAATGAGAAAAGCGGTTCTTTTGTAAACGTTATGACCTTCTATTGGATACAGTTTTCAGACCTATAGTTCGTTCTGGTGTGAGAACAGTCTATACAGTAAATCAAAAGGAAAAGCTTCTTGTCCCAAATCTGGAGTAAAAAAAATTGTGAATGATTTCATCTTCGATATCCAAGGTCAGAAAAACCACCCTACATTCAAAAAATATATATAAATATATATAGCATAGGTTTTATAACTGAATTATCAAGAATATACTCTTAAAAAGATCAAACAGAAGAAGAAGAGAAGTTTGCATGTAGAATACACAACTAGGCCACATCACTCAAACAAGAACATGAAGAGAACCAAAAATATGCAACAGATGAAACAAATGATCAAGAAATCTTGGAAACTAACTTGACAGGGATTCTACCTTCACTCTAGATATAGCAAATAAATGTATTACTGGAAAACAAAGGAACAATGCCTGTCATTTTGGAAATAAAGGATAATATCATAGGTAGACCACATCGCCTTTTTTTTTTTTTTTTCTCCTTTTTCAAGTTAGTTATTGAGATTTGTACAACTTTCTCTGAAAGATAGATACAAATAAAAGTACAGAGGAAAAGAGGAACAAATACTGCAAAAAAATAAAAAAATAAAATAGAAATAGACGCAAATGAGCAAAGTCCACAGGAGAATAGAGGAATTTGAGCATTGAAAAAGATGAGAACATGCCTTGAAAAAGCTAAAGCATTATGCATGAAACATGTTATCTCCAGGATGTTGGCCACTGAAATCTCTTAAAAACAAATGACCAACTCTCAATATGCTGTAAAGAAATCAAAAGTAAATAAGTGGATACAACATAGATATATAACTTACCATAAGATCCTAATGATTGAGATGTTACAGTCGATGAATCACAATGGCTAATTGCAGATAAGAACCCAAAAGAACGTAAAATTCCTCTTGATATTGATAAAGCCCTACTTTCATCACCATCAAGCACTGACCTATTGCAGAATTTTGGGTTCATCTTCATTAGAAATCTCAGTTATTCTCAGACTTTCACACAATTATAGAGAACATAATTAAGCCTCATAATATATAGATGTATACTCCAAACAGTACGATAACCAATGAGCTTGAAGTCTAAAAACTCCAGAATACTACTTAATAACATTTCACAAACAAAAAATTAGCACAAAAGTTCCAAACTTTAAACTAATATTCATAAAAGAGGAAAAAAAGAAGGCTGCTTTGCTAGCTATAAAACCTAAAATGCTGCAAAAGTTACATTAATCTTAAATTTGTCAATTGTACTGTGATTAAAACTAGTAAATATAAAGAAAAAAAAATGTATATAGAAATAGCAGAAAGGTTCAATTCCAGAATAGGATGTAATGTGGAAATGTGAAACGATGACCGAAGAATGGTGATGCAGGAGAGCTTGGGTTTTTGAGGAGGGATGCACAGGCAGAAGAGGAAGTGCTTGTGTTGATCATGCAATTTGCGTTTATCAAAAGTAAAAAGAAACTAAAGAAAGAAAAAGAAAAGCAGAACACTCGTTTTTCTAGGTACCAATAAATGCAAGGACGCCTCAGTCAGTCTTCCCTCTCACCAAAAGGCGCAAGGAAAACCCTTCCTAAACCCATATAGAAATTCACAAGTGAATTGGTTCACTTATGCTGGTTGGTTCAAAGTATTTTCAAGTTAATTTGTGTAAGTCAAGATTTAAACTTTTGGAGATCTTAAGCGCAAGCTTCTTAAATCATGTATTTAAAAAAATTAAATTTCTTTAAATACTAAAATTTAAAGAGATCAAAGAGAGAGAATGAGTTACCGAAAGATACTTTTGAATTAAAGGGTTTGTTTTATTAGCTTTTTTTTTTATATTATGCATTCAAGGCATAAATTAAAATTATATTAATTATATTTTGTTTATTAAGAAAAAATAAAAATTAATTTTTATTTTTTTAATATAAATTAATAAAAAAAAAACAATTAATGCACTATTAAACAAATCTTCTTTTTCCATATGCACTATGACTATTAATAGCAATTTTTTTTTTTGACGAAAGACTATTAATAGCAATTTGAATGAATGTCGATGCCAATAAAACCTACAAAGTCCCATAAATTTTTCTTTTCTGCTCAGTCTCTAGAACATTTAAACTCGAGAAGTGGGATCCTTTGACTTTTGAATTCGATTTTAAAAATATATATAATATATATATTTTAAGAACACAAACTAACTAATTGAAATCTTCTCATGGAAAAGAGGTGGAAAAAATATAGGGGTTCAAATCCTAATTATATAGGTGAGAGAATTATCTTTTGCCTAGCATGACCAGTTATTTAAGAATTAAAATGAAACAACGAAGAGATAGAAAAGATTAATTAGCTTCATCATTAACAAGCCTAGCAATGATGAGAAATTTTCACACACACATATGAACTAGGAAGCTGAATATATATAAAACCCATTTCCACAGTTGATGTAGGATTACAAACGAGATCCATGTGATTACAATAACATCAAAGATCCCTAATTCTTATTCTCATAAAGCAAAATTGCAAAGAACATGACCTAAATAGAAATTAATTCATACAACCTTCCCCTATAGAAGTCATGCCAAATGCAGGCTCTTGCCAAACATAGCGATGATCCACAATCCTCAAAACCCAATGGATTGATAACCAAATGCATATCATTATATACCCATCGGTGAGAATTTTGTCGAAATGTGTTCTTAAGATAACTTTATTTACATTTATGATAACATATTTATATTTATATATAAGGACTGAGTCATCATAATAGAAGCCATCTGTCATTCAACAATCTTTATTTTATAATCTAAACCATAAAACAATCTTCCCTAAGTATACCCTCTCTCATTCCCATGCACACCCCATCACCATACCTACAACACAGACATAAAATCTCCGACCCTTCTTAACTACAGTCGAACGATTCCGGGAACGTACACCACCGTTTAGATTGTTGGCATGATATATAGTAAGTGCAGCTTATAGATGATGGCGTTATAAAACCACTTTTGAGAAGCAAGAACCTTAGTCTTTAGGAATCACAATAGAGACGTAACAAATTAAAATTAACCCACAAATGATATGTAAATAAGAATATAAAAATTACTACTCTATAGCCATCCGAATTTATATTCGTCTTCAGGTACATACAAGAGGTATGCATGAGCATTAAGTAACATAATATAATTCTCCATCAAATGATGGAAATTTTACATTTAAAAGCAGTTCCATTTTGATATTAATTTAACATCATCTCACCATTATCAGAGTAGTGTAGGAGAGAGATCCATGGGGAAAGGGTTGCCCAGAACATTGTCCATGTAATAGTGGGGATGAGTAGCATCCATCACCACAAACTGCATTTCTTCTGAAGGCTTCCAGTGCCTTTTTCTTTGATTGATGAACCAGTTGTTTATTTGCTTCTGATCGAGGCCGGTAGACTCAGCAAGAGCAAGCTTTTGTGACTCCTGTTTGCACATTACGTTCAGATGGTTGAAAGTTAATTGGAATTAAATTGCCGTTTCTGCAGAGAAGTGCATCATTTAATGAAAGCATTAATCAAGTTTGTTTTGAGGTATACATACCGATGGGTAAGGCCATTTGTAATGCCTACTCCACCAGTCTAGCAGCTGTTGCCTGGCTTCCTTAGGCAGCTTTCCTTTCTTCCGTTTCTTCATAAATTCCTGTTTCAGACTGCCTAAATAACCACTGTACTTGCGCAGAAGCTGGCCTTTAAGTTCTTGATCTTCCGCTAGGGGATCTATGGAATTGTTGTTCACATCAACCTCCTCTTCGGATGATCCATTCCTGTCAATGGCCTCACCACAAGCTGCTAGCAGGCATAAACTAGTGAGCATCTCAACAGAAAAACCATACCATCATTGAAGAAAAAGTAACTACAACTAGTATTTCAATCCCCTCATGACAGGGAAAAACAGTCTCACATTTGTTTCTCAAGCTCAATTTCAATCTCAAGAGAGCACATGAACCATTCTAGCTCAAAAGTACTTCCAATTAATATAGATGTATGACATTTAAGTTTTATTTAATCCAAAGTTTAAAGCATTTAGAATTTAGCACATTAAAAAAACCTTTGAGTGGTTCAAGATTAAGTTGATTTTTTATTTACAGTTACTCTGTTTATTATTATTATATTTTTCAGTTGTCCAAATTTAGAGTTACACAATCAAAAAGGCAATCTAGGTAACAACTAAAAGCACAACGATTACCCTTTTGTCATTCTAGAGCCAAAAACCACCTCTCCCTCTCTCTATAGGTTAATGTAATAAGGGTAACGTTGGAATTAGAGCATTTGCCATCCTCTAAAACTAGAAAGTGGAACACACAAATAACAACACCCCTATGTAGTAACTAGGACAACTAAATAAAAATGGATGTATATAAAAGTCCAACAAAGCTGCTTGCAAATATTTTTTCTACCTCTTAAACACATGAAGACAATTGTATAGTGTAAGGCAACACATAGAAATAGAAAATTCTGAAATCCAGCCCAAACCACATTATGCTTTGAAAGTATATATCAACGGTCCACAGTGCTGCGAGGTATATGTCACACCTTGCATGAATTCAGGCGATTGCACATCCACACACGCAAGTAAACACAATTTAATCCAAGAAAAGGTATATCAACTTGTCAAGTAAATACATACAAACTAGTACTACTTAAATGTTACATATCATACTTAGAGATTTATACAAGCAAGCAAACTAGCACACAGTGAGAGACAGGCACTGTGTAGTTTTTGAATATGTGATCATCCATTTATATTCCAGCGTTCATGATAAGACCAATTATCTGATAATCAACTGCTAGGAGATATACGAAGTACTAAATATTTTATAAAGAATTTCTTAAGATTTTGATTGCTAGCCTTATTGGAGATGGTTTTATCCCTCTAAAAATGGACCTCATCTTCACCATGTACCATTACCCATGAAATTGAATTAAGTTCCATCTCTTACATATCATCACACAATAAGTTCAAAATCTAGCTTTCACCATGCCTATTGCAAGCAAACCTAACTAGTTTCTCATAGAAATGTATTCAGTAAATTTAGTCCAAAACATCATCGCCATTAGACTTATATATTCAGATTTTTCAGCATAATCAAGCAAAAACCTAGGCATGCAGCTGTTGAATTCGACCCTTCAATGTTACAGATATAGCATTTCCTTCAGTGGTTACACTCCTTAAAGGAGCAGAATAAAACTTAATATTTAGCAATAATAGTAGCAGAAGAAAACATCATTCACTAGAAAGCACATCAAACACAAAATTCAAGAAGAGAATCAAACCAGGGAATATCTGTACCATCGCTGGGTTAGTAGATGCCCTAGTTCATAAAACAGTCCCACACACAAAATCAAATAGCAAATTTTCAAAACTACGCAACAAAAAGGAACATGGAGCAAGCACAAAAGAAACAAGAAAGAGATTAAACAAAGGGAATAACAAAACAAACTCTTCGATTTTGTAAATTTGGTTTTTTAAATTAGCATCTAATCCTTGGAAACACAAATTAACATGCATGGTACATATGATATTAATGCTGAACAAATCAACAAACATCCAAAAGATCCAAATAATAACACAATCTAGAAAGTATTTTTTGGAAGAGAAGGAGATCGTCACCAGAGCTTTGAGAAGAAACGGTGAGGGCTTTGAACTGAGACTCAACCCTTTGGAGGAAAAGCATGGCTTCCTTGAAGGGTTTAGAGAGCTCTTGCTCGTACTTGGTCAGCATCTCACAGTAAGCCTCCATGAACTGGTCCAGTGCAGGATCTTCACCGATGCAGCCAACACCAGCAGGCCCCATAGCCGCCGCAGATGCACAAGCTTCTTCCAATCTTGCCACCACTTCCGGCGGTGCCCCTACCTGCATCATCTTGGTTTTGTTGCTTTCATTAGTAAAATACGATGATCCATTTAAATGGGTAAAAACCTAAGACTAGATGTCCCCATCACACGTATCTAAAACACCAAAAGGGTCCTGACCTCTCACTTTCATCTTCAGAATTAGAAAAGCAAAAACAAACAGTTACAATCTGTGACATGGGTACAAATTTTCCTCAAAGAAAAGAAACACCTCAGCTCCTCCACTTTCATGGAAGGTGCTGAAGTCACGGGTTACTAATTCTCAAAAGTTCTTGTGCAGCACCCAGGACACTTCACTTGCTCAAAATGAGCAAGTCTTAGGCTTACAGACACACGATATAGCATGTAGAATTTTCATTTGAGCGCATGTTTTTAGCTTTCATTTTAGTCTATGTATTAGGGGGTTTGATCACCTTTTGACAGTTGACATAGGCAGCCAAGAGACGGTGGTAGTGAGGATGAGCCATGATCTTAGCCTTGACTGAATTAGATGAGCTGCCATCGTTGTTGTCCATGAAATAACACCCGGCTGCAGCAGCAGAATTGTTGTTGTTGTTGTTGTCGTTGTTGTTGTGATCGTCAAGAATCATGGAGGAACCGCTGCTGCTGTTGTGGTTCTGCTCCTGATTGTTGGTCGGAAGAGTAAGAGGAAGAAATAAGGAGCTCGAGTCCACCACATTAACATGCCGATGATTATTATTATGATGATGATGATGTAAAGTCATGAGTGGCATCATCGTCATGGGACATAGTCCATTACCATCGTCTCCAAATGCCATCATGCATGAAGTGGTATTAGTAGAACCACCCTCCATTATCTCTCACTATCTTATCTTCTCACTTTGCCTTCTCCTTCCTAAAAGAACCCAAAACAAAAAACAAAATGAAAAATCGAAACTTTCTCTCTCCTACGCAATCTTTTTGCCCTAAAAATTTTAGTTCCTTGAGAACTCTCCCGAGATTTATGCTACAAGAATCAGACTTTTTACAGGAAATACTAAACAGTAGGTAGTGATAGTGGGAGCAGAGCAGAGAGCAGAAGGAGTCAGTTGTGAGGAACTAAAGCCTGTTGAGATTTCCTTTGGAAAATGGGTGGGGGGCTTATCTTTTGTGCTCAAATTAACAGCATTAATTCATTCACTTTGAGAAAACAGGGCTTTTTCTTTTCCTCATAGGTAAAACGGAAGGCACGCGGGGGATTCAGGGGAGGAAGATGGAAGGAGGAAGTGAAGAAGGGAGGGAAAGCTTTACCTTCCCGATGAAAACTTCTCTCCCTCTTTTCTTGCACGCACTGGCACTGCAATTACTGGGAAAAGAAAGAGAAGGGAAAGAAAATTTGGAGATTGCAGAAGGGATTGATTCAATCGAGGAGAAGAGAGGAAGAGAAAGGGAAAGATTTTGGGGGCACGGAATCACTCTGTCTTTTTTTCTCTCTCTGTTATTTTTTTTAGTAAAAAATTTTTCTTTGCTTTCTTCTGTGCCACGTCCTGTGCCCTTCACTTCATCACTGCGGTTTTTGATGGCAATCTGTCCACTCAATATAATATTCGCACTTATGTCGTCCTCTTCCTTCTTCCGCAGACCTGTCCCTTCCGTTCTGTAATAATTTGGACAGGCATTTTTACTTACATTTCCCATATCCAACATGAAATAAAAATATGTAGGTGTGCTTTTTAAGGGTTTTTTTTTTTTTTATGAAGTCAATATATTTTAAAGTTAATTTTTATATATTTTTAAAAA